GAAGGTCTTTAAAAAGAACCGAATTGAGTTTTTAGAAATGAAAACTGATGTGACAAATTGTCATACTGAAAGATTTTGGAGGAGGAATTTGCCTCGGAGGCGCTGATAGAATAAACAGATTTCTGTTATAGTCAGGGACGAAGGGAAGAATGGGGGTTGGGGCACATGTAGGGCAGAGGGTGAGGATCAGGGCTGTTCTGATTCAGGATCTTTCCAGAAAGCAGGCCTCTCTGGAGGTCAGTGTCGATTTGGCCTGTGTTGAGGGGTGGGGTCATTCTGCCTGTTGGTGAATGGTTCTCCTTACTCTTGACGGCCTAGATGGGAGATTCTAGAGAGGCACCCCGAGGATATCACAAAGGCATTTCTATCTGCCCAGAATAGTGGGGGCTGCCATTCTTTCAAGCAGGGCTGACAAGACAGAAAGAAAAGGTCCAAGTGATACAGAGAGGGTGGGGATAGCCTTCAGTGTTCTTTAAAATGTTCTTTTTGGGGGTTGGGGAAATGGCTAAGCAGGAGAAGGCATTTGTGGGCAAGCCTAGGACCTGAATTAGATCCTATGGGCTCACAAGGTAGAAGGAGCAACCCAATTCCAAAGTTATCTTCTAACACACACACACACACACACACACACACACACCAAAAACAAAACAAAACAAATACATTAGAGAAATGCCCCTTTCTGCTGCTGTGTGTCTCTGTCAGCTTTGATGGACCACTTTAGAACATCTTCTGGAAATGATATTTGTGATGACGGCTCAGTTCTAATTCTCCTCCTCTTGGGTCTGTTTGTGTGTCTTCTTCCTATGATGGTCTGAAGAACACTACACAATCATTTTCTGAGCCTCCTCAGGTAGCCTCAGGAGCCAAGGCTATGATAACTAACTATGTTGTTTACTTAGGACTGAAGAATTTCCTTAAACACTGAATTTTCTGTGAGAAACCCAGAACACTCAGAAGAGAATCAGGGTACTTGGTCAGCCTCCTGAGGGAACATGTGCTGGATCACACTGCACCTGCTCCAAAAAAATAGCCCCTGGTAGCAGAGGAACTTAGTTTAGATTGTAGTCACTAGAGAAAAGGAATATTAGTAGGAATATTAGTTTTGACTGATGTTTCTCCAGCTATTGTGTTTTTTTTCTTTTTCTGAATATGGAGTTGAGAGTATAAAAGCTGACCAGCGTGAGCCTGTACATATCACCGCTGGGACAATAATTCCCCACAGCTGTAACCCTTGCAATGTGAGGCCCTTTGTATTCATTCCTCTAGAGTCTAGACAAATTCCTACATTTTAGCTTCTTAAATGGCTATGCAACCAGAGTGATTGAAGTCTAAGTGAATTACCTCTTTATTTCTAGCAGGACTCGGCTCAGGGAAAGCAGTGCAGCCACAGATTCTAGGCCAGTCTTCAGAGGTGGGCAGCTTAGGGTTTGCCCCCAGTTCACCATCTTAGGCTGAGTGTCTGCTAGAGGATTCCAGCAGCTTCCCTTTAGGGATCTGATTCCCGTGGACTGCCTGGGAAAGAGGTCTGCACTAGTTTTCAGTGCAGGCATTTGGGCTTTTATTTATTTGTGTGGAGCAAGGAAAAGACACTTGTGAGTGCAGGAAAAATAACATTTATACAAACAGCGGTGTGCTAAAGATAGCATGCCCTAGCTCATCAGAGTCAGTGGTTAAATTTCCAGGAAAAATTGAGAGCTTGCTATTAAAAATTAAGCTAAGCAGTTATTAAAATATGTAACATATAAACTTATAATTAAATTATATTTTAAAAAGACACTAAATAAGACATCACTTCAGAATTATCTTACTATGACCTATGATCTCCAAGTTATACATAGTTATTGTTTCTGTGTTAGCTATTCGTCACTATAATTAATTATGTAATGACAGCTTTTCTGATGAATAATCTTGATTGTCAACCTGCTGGGATCTAGAGTCACTTAAGAGACAAGCCCCTAAGAATGCCTGTGAGGGGTTATCTATGCAGGTTAACTGAGGTGGGAAGGCTCTGTGGGTGGCAGCATTCTGTGGGATGGCGCCCTGAACTATTTTGAATAAAAAAGAGGAGGTAAACCAAGCAGGCATCTCTCCCTGCTTCCTGACTGTGGATGTGATGTGACCAGCTGTCTTGAGCTCTTGCCTCTGTGACTTCTGTACCAGGATGGGCTGGATCCTCAAACTGTGAGCCGGAACAAACCCTCCTTTCCTTCAGATGATTTTGTCAGGGCATTTTACTACGGCAGCAGGACAAGTAAATAATACCGGCTCTTAGAAAAACAGAGCTGTGGTTCAGAGTTCCAGGAATTTTAGGTATAAAATGTGTAGTACAGGCTCAGTAAAGACTGAACCCTTGCTCTGTCCCCTCTGGGTCTGGGTAGTGGTTGGTAATGGAGTGTTGTGTGAGAGCATGCAATGCACACTGACCCAGGAACAGAGAGAGCTGGGTGGGACCAAGGAAAGCAGGACAACTATCTTCTAACTGCAGGATTCCCAGTAACCCAAGGACCTTCCACGAGGCCTCCTTTCTTAAAGGTTTACAGCATACCTTCCAATACCACTATTCTGGAAACATAGCCTTCAATTGTATGGAACTTTAGGGGTCAAGAAAGCAAAGTAATCTGCATAGTAGACACACCTTGTGATGGAATGTTACTATGTACCTCTACTCAAGAGCCTGGTGTGAATATGGACAGTATACCACTGTGTGAGTAATTATTGAAGAACTACTATGTGATAGACACAGAATAAAGAGGTTCATAAGTTCATGTTTCCAGTCAACCAACACTGCTTCACTATCAACAGTCCAAATCCTGCGTATATTAGCTAACATTTATTGTGAACTCATTGTGCGTCTGGCCTTCTGAAAGGTCCTTTATCCATTTAGCGGCTCAATCCTTAGCTATTTCAGGGAGATTCCGTTATTACCCTCAACTTCCAAAGGAGAAAAGTGAGTATGCTACTCGCCTTGCTGCTATGACAAGATATCTGACCAAAGTTACTTAGTGAAGAAAGGATTTAGTTTGGTTCACAGAGTGAGGCTACAGCCCATCACGGCAGAGGTGTGGCAGGAAGGATGGCTCCGGCTGCTGTGGCAGGAACATGAGTCACCTCCGTTGTTGGGAAGCAGATGAAAGAAAGGGGTGAATCTTAAGGTCCAGCTCGATTTTCTTTTTATTCAATGTATGGTTCTAGTTTGTGGAGTGCTCTTCTAGTTTGGGGGGTTAGTCTTCTCCCCCTTATGGAGTATCTCTGGAAGCATCCTCAAAGACATGCCCATCACAAATCTACCCCTTGTCAACTTGAGACCTGAAACATTATTTTAAAATCACAACATTCAACCTATGAGCCTCAAAGGTCCATGACCATCTCATGATGAAAAATGTAGCCATTCTAACTTCAGAAGTTATTTGTAGTTTTAACAGTTTCTCGAAAGTCTAAATGCAGACATTCTAAGAGGATTCATGTAATGCCATAATCTGTTAACCCTTGTAAAAAAAATGTTTTGTTTTTCCGGTATATAGTCATACAGAATAAACATTCCCACTCCAAAGGGAAGAATAGAGGCATAGTAAGAAAAGATTGAGGAGAAAAAAAGGACTGAAATCCAGTAGGACAAACAGCAAATCTTGCAATCTGACATCGAGGACCGGACCGGTGATGGTGGAATCACTTCGGCTCCAGTGTCCTCAGATAACCCCATTTCTCCAGCTCTGCTGCCCACAGCACATGTGAACTGTGCCCACTCTTGTGCTAGCTCTACTCCATGTCCGTAGCTTTCCTCACCGGGTAGTCCCTAGTTCCAGCATTTCCAACATTCCATGGTCTCCATCGCAACTTATACTTCACCTCTACAGCTTCACCCGATGGTTTCTCGGAGTTTCTCTGAAGAGATCTGGTCCTCCTACACTTTACCCAGCTTCTGTGACTTTCTTGAGTCTTGGTGCAGGCTTCTGTGATCCTCCCACTCTGGAATTTTCATCCCTGCATAAACAACACCACGTGGATGACGCAGGTCAGTTTTATTGTTAGCTCAAGATGTAATCTGTCATGCCACCACTGGTAGAGGGGCCTTAATGTGCCTCGGTAGCTGAACCCAGTAAACCACTTTCCTAGGTGGAGCAGAGACCCCTGATGGTGGTGGTATTCTCAGTTCAGGCTCTCTCCTTTCAAATATTTTGTGTTCCTACAATATTGAACTTTTAATGAGCAGGGTCTTGACCTCAGGGCACCTTTCCTGGTGTCTGCTGTGAGGTTTCCATTTAATGATGCTTATGTCTTTTACTATTATTCCTTCTTTCCCCTGCTTGTGCCTTATCTGCAACTTTCCTCACTAAATTGCACATTTCCCATGTTTTTCTGCTTTTTATCTCACTGAAAATTTGAGTAGGATCAGTAAGGAATAGCCATGCCAACTGCTGAATGCTGCTGTTGTTGTAACGAAGCCACCAGAGACGTCTACTGTGTCATGGGTTTGAGCCATTAGAAAGTCTTTATTAGCTCACCAACTAAAGTTCAGGATCCCAGGGTAGCCCCGAGCCTTTCTCGGGGTGAACTTTTAATTGCAGAAACGTATCCTGGGTTACTACACCTCAGTTAACAAGGACAGTTATCCAAAAGTGGAACTACAGAAGCCAAAAAGCCAAGTAAGTATATTCAGGGACTTTGCCAGAACTATGGACTCTGATGGATTAGGTCTTTGTTAATGTTGCTTGTGTCCTGGGTTCCATGGCTTGAATAGTATTTCCATCATGGTGCCAGTTGTGCTAAGATGTGGGGACCTGTTACATTGTCTCAAAAGTTCCTTCCGTTTTTTTGGTTTTTTTTTTTTTTTTTTGTCTTTTTTTTTTTAAAGCAAGCCGGGCCATAGTGGCGCACACCTTTAATCCCAGCACTCGGGAGGCAGAGCCAGGCGGATCTCTGCAAGTTCGAAGCCAGCCTGGTCTACAGAGCGAGCTCCAGGACAGGCACCAAAACTATACCGAGACACCCTGTCTCAAAAAACCAAAAAAAAAAGTAGCACACTACTCTTGAGTTAGGCCTCATCAAGCTTTTAGGAGATAGGTAGAAAGCAGTTAGATTTTTTTTGTCAGAATATTATGGATTTTCTGTAATCACGTTTCTCATAGTGTCCTTATTCTCCTTTGAAATCTCAGGAGGATTTCACTGCCTTCGTCTCTCTTGTCATTCTGGCCATCCACACATCCATTAGGATGGGCGATTAAGCTCTGTTAACACTATTCTAGGGGTTCTCTCCCTCACCTTCATGCTCTTCCACATTCTTCCCGCAAACCAGCTCTAAAGGCCTATAACCACGTGGTCAGTTTATTAAGAATAGCAGGCCTTCTTCTTAGAACCAATTTTCTGTATCAATTACTTTTTTTCTTTCTTGATATGACAAAAGCAGTTGAAGGAAAAATTTATTTTAACTTATAGTTTGGGTGAAATCCATCACATTGGAGAGGGCAATGAGCAGGAAATGTCCCCACTGTCCCTACTATCACGAACCTTCTATCATGACATATGGGGTAGAGGAGAAACAGGTATCCATCAGTAAATACAGAACATGCAGATGTCAGTAAGTGCCATGGAGCAAAACTAGAGCAGGGAAAATTGATAGAATATATTGAGCCAGCAGTGTACATCAATTCATGTATTTTAATATCACCCTCACTAAATGGTTGAGCAAATCAAGGTTCAGAGAGGCTAAAAGTACGTCCACAGACACAGGCTTTGTGAGTGGAGGAACCAAGATCTCCATCTCCAATAGTGTGCCTCCACATTTATTATTATCCAGCCACAGGATAAACAAGTGTCCAGCTCAGCTCACAGTGGTGCTGAATGCTGGCTGTGCTATGGCTACTGAGAAGCCCACAGGAGTGAATGTAAGATCTTAAATGGAGGCCCAGCCACAAGGCCCTGCTTCTCATTGGTCACTTAGAGGGCTTTGTTGATGAAAATAGACTTATTGTGGCTAAAATGGGTCACAGGTGGCAAAGGCCAGGGACCGACAAAGAGTTTCACTGGATTCCATTAGCGCTCAAAACATTGTGCTCAGTGAATAGGCACTGCTGGGGCATGCTGGGGCATGCTGGGATGTGTAGACACTGCTCTTTAAAGTACCCTGCATTGCCCCACTGGAAATACTGTATTTAATGTCAACTTGGTCTGACCTTTAGTTTCGGTGGCATTTACTAATTCTATGAAAGCAGCCATTTTTTACTTCCCTAAAGCTTGATAGGAAATCAGACCATTAGTTAAGCCTAGCTTAGCAGATGCAGAGGCTAAAGGCTTGACAACATATTCCCTACAACCTGGGAGCAGATACAGAATGGCCTCCGATATTTTTAGTTTCTTTAAAATTCTTACACCAGGGAAACCAGAAGAAAGTGGCATTTAACAATAGGTTAATGTATCAGTTTGACATTCTAGGAATCCAACAGAAGCCAGCGCTGGCAGAGTAGGCCTGACTGTTTGGAGAATAGAAAATACTCCCAGGTTACAAGTATTTCAGAATCCCCAGTCATTCAGTGATAGTCATTAGGTGGATTAATGTCCACTTGTCACTGTAGCACTCATCAAAATTTTAACAGCTTAAAACAGACCTATTCTTTGTCCGTTACAGTTAGGCTCAAGTCCAGGTTGGCTTAGCTGGGTTTTCTGTTCAGATGTTTAAAATGCTAAGTCAAGATGTTGGCCAGGGCAGAACTCTTATTTAGATGTTCTGGGGGCGGGGGGAGTTTATTTCTAGGCTTGTTCAGGTTGTTGGAAGAATTTACTTCTTGAAGTTGACAGTTTCCTTCCTGAGAGATGTCTTCACTCCCTGATTTAGGCTTCCTCCTCTTCATGGCCGGCACTGGAAGGTTGGGAGTCCCCACATCTCGAAATCTCATTGCTCTTTCTAATGCCCAATTCTTCCAGCTCATGTAATCAGATTGGGTCCACAGGAATAAGGCAAGTATCCCCCTCCCCTCCTCTACGGTCATAACAGAAAGTTCACAAAGTTCCCTTTGCTGTACATAGGCATTCACAGGTTCTGAAGACGGAGAAATAGAACTCTTCGGGAGTAGATATCTTGTCTCTCATACCTCTATCTTTTTGACCCAGGTCTCTTGATATTCAGGATTCTGTAGGGAACATCTATGTGGGCACCTTGAAAGCTGAAAATATAATACATATGGGAGGTTCAAGGGAAGAAAGAAATGCAGATGTTGTAGTTAGATAGTTAGATCAATTTTGTATGAGAATAGATGCTTCCAAGTATGATATTGTTAATATTATGGTATCACTTGTAAAAACATCTACCCGTTCATTCTTTCCACAGTATTTATTAAGTGCTTCATATGTGTGACACTATTCCAAATTCTAAGAGTATAACAGTAAAGAGTAGACAAAAATTCTTGTTCTCATGTAGACAAAGTTCTATATTTGGAAACATAAATAAATATATGACCTAAAAGCGAAGAGAAAGTATTATGAAGGGGAATAAAATAAGGGAGAAAGAGGGGATGTTTTGATGGATTACAAGTTGATTGCATCTTTCTTTTTTTATTATAGTGTGTGTGTGTGTGTGTGTGTGTGTGTGTGTGTGTGTGTGTGTGTGTGTGTGTAAGGTCAGAAGACAACTTGTGGCAGAGAGTCCTCTCCTTTTATCATGCTGGTCCTGGGGATTCCACTCAAGTCCTCAGGTTGGCAGCAAAGGACTTTACCTACTGAGCAATTTCACTGTGCCTAGGTTGCATCATAAATACAGTTAGTCAAAGCTGCACTGGGAAGGTAACATGTCAGGAGAGCCTTGAAAGAGAGTTAATGTAGAAGTTACTTGTAAGTATAGAAACTGTCCATGCACAGTCAGTTTCTGATTGGTTTCTTGGCCTTGAGTTTGGATGAGTTCCCAGTGGGAACACATTTAGGTATAGAATGGAAAGCTTAGAAACTGGGCATGGTGGCACCTGCTTATAAATTAGATCAGTGAGGAGGCCAAGGAAGGTGGATTTCAACTGGGGCCTGGGAAATATAGTTAGTTTGAGATCAGCTTGGGCTGAAATGTGAGATTCCTTGCCCCTAAAATAAAGAGTTTAGAAATGAATCTTGAGCAACTACACAGTTAGAGGTCAAGGAAAGGTGACCAGCAGCCACATGAGGTAGCAATCAGGAGAAACGTTCAAGTGTGTGTGGCAGTGTTTCCAAGTAGAGGATTTGTTTATCGGTGCTGAATACTACCGATGGACCAATTAAAATGAGAATAGATAGTTGAGCCCCAGATTCAACAATTCAAGGTCTTTAGTTTCTGTGTCACTAGGACCACAGAAAGCAGGAAGAGAGGGCTTAGAGAGAGTGGTGGTATAAAACATCCAGGAGTTTTGAAGAAGAACAATGGAGAGAAGAAATACCCGGAAGGAAATGTGAGCACAGGTGTTGTGGAACATTATTTTAACTAGGCAAAGATGTGTTACATTTGCCTAGGCTGCGGAATATTACTTCAACTGTGTAAAGCTGTGTTATATTTGTTTCTGCTGCATTTGCTAAATTATGTAAGGATGTGTTGCATTTGTTTCACCTTGCCTGACTAAGGCACCTGATTGGTCTAATAAAAAGTTGAACAACCAATAGCTAGGCAGGAGAGGGATAGGCGGGGCTGGCGGGCAGAGAGAATAAATAGGAGGAGGAGGAATCTCAGCTTGAGAGAGAAGAGGATAATGAGGGAGAAAGAGAGGGACGGGGCTGGGACCAGAAGCCAGGCAGCTGTCAGTCAGCCAGACATGAGAAGCAATGAAAGCAGGACATACAGAAGGAAAGAAAGGTAAAAAGACCTGAGGCAAAACATAGCTGAAGATTAAAATAAGAGCTAAGATAAGGCTGAGCATTCATAGCTGATAACAAGTCTCTGTGTCCTGATTTGTGAGCTGGTTGGTGGCCCAAGAGAAAAAGCCTGCTACACACAGGTGAATAGATAGCATGTTCATGCGCTGATGACAGTGAGGTATAGCAGGAGAAGAGATATAGATAAACAAGAGTAAGAATGGCCATTTCTTTCAGTGAGGGAAAAGGAGCTCAGGATTTGGTGTTTTCCCTATTCACCCATTAATCATTTTGAAATGGGAATGTTTATTCTGTGACAGGCATATAACAAGTGCTTGATTTTATAGGAGTTTATGGCTAAGAGCTTGCCTTAAGTTTCAGAAGAAATTTGGACTCAGGGCTATTAAAGTGTTGCAACGTTAAAGACTGTGGGGACAGGAAGTTGAAATGAGTGCATTTTGCATTACAAGATGGTCATGAGCCTGTGAGGACAAGGAGTGGAAAGTCATGTTTTCAAAGTGATGTGTTTTGGTGTCAGATTGACAAGGGGGTAGAGCTGTGGTATTTAATCTTGACTGTCAATTTGACAGGAATTAGAATCACTATAGAAATAAATCTGTGTATGTCTATGAGGGATTATTTAGATTAGTTTAATTGAGGTTTAAAGACCCACCCTAACTGCAGGCAGGAGCATTGCACTGTCTGGAGTCCTGGGCTGCATGAATAGGAGAAAATGAGCTGAGAACAAACAGCTGCCTCAATGGACTGCATCCTTGAACTGTGTGCTGAAATAAACCCTGCCTGAAGCCATTTTTTTCTCAAGTATTTTGTTACAACAACAAGATAAGTAACTAATAAATCTTCTAACCACTCTACAAGAAAGAAGTTTGAGAGATGAGGAAGGGGGGAAGGGTGTAGGTCAGGTGTCTTTTTGGAAGGTTTTTGAAAGCTTCCTGTAGGTATATATTTCTGCTTGTATCTCATTGGTCTGAAGTGATATGACATCACTTGGCTACAAATAGTGCGGAGATTTTATTTTGGGTGGCATAGTCCCAGGTAGGCTTCTACTATGTGCCAATAGAAGATTTCACATCAGGGACTTCTGGACTGCTGGCCACTGTCACTGTATTTGACTGCTTTGCATTTTTCCCTCTCCCTGATCAGTGTTTCATGTCTTAGAATTTGATCCTTAATCCTGTTCCCTAACTATCGAGTCCCAGATATCCAAGAGATAATTTATTGCCTTGTGAGCACAGTAAAATGAGAAAGAATGTGGAAGGCAGATAGCCTTGGCTTCAGATCCAGGCTTTATAACCTACTGCTTCAATAAATTTGAATAGTTGCTTAAATCTTCTGGCCTTATGTTGTCTACTGAATAGTGAAATTAAACTCAGTTTACAAGGTTATAGAGAATGAAATGAGATTATCTATGCCACCATAATTGACACCCACACATCCTCTTTTCCTCAGTGACCTAGCTGAAGGAGAAGTTCAGTTTTTTGAGAACCCCCCACCCAGGGTTGACATTTCCTGGCTGCTGGCTACTATACAATAATACCTTTCCTTTGCTAATGCCAGACAGACAGACTCACATTGGGTTACTGCCATCTCTCCTTCACTGTGTGGTACCTATGATATTTGAAGATGATTGGTAACTTCTTCTGCCCCTTCACAACTCTAGGGGACAGACTGATTTTTGGAAGTCGTGTGTGTGTGTGTGTGTGTGTGTGTGTGTGTGTGTGTGTGTGTGTGTGTGATATTTTCATATGCTCAGGTTCCTGTCAAGAATTTGATTATTATTATTATAATAATTGATGAGGTGATTAATTGATTGATGTGTCTCACAGAAACAAGCCTGAGGTGAATATTTCTCAGGCAGAGCTGCACCTGACATTGCTGTGAATCAGTGAGACAGATAGTTGGTCAGCCACGGTAGCCCTGACCAGATGAGTATAAGTTGATATGGTCTAATGTCACAGCTAACGTCAGCTAACATCAGTTCTTGACTGTCATCAAGTATTTCTGATACACTACCTCTTATTACCGAAGTCCATTCCTGCTGAAGCCTTCATTGTTCTCACGACAGAGAAGTGTCTCCACCAGGGCTGCACTGGCTGTCTCTGCTTTGAGGGTTTTGCTGGGCTCTGGACCTATACGGAGGATTTTTCTAATTTGAACTGTCTAAGATCTCTGTGGCTCAAAGACCCTCATCTTGGCTTGCTATTCCAAGAGCTATGATCAAGAAGTAGACCTGCTTCAACTCATGGCACAAAGAAGGAAGGGAAAAGAGAGGGAAAGGGAGAATACTGTTTTATTCTGTTGTATATTGGCTTCTTGCCCTGGGTTGAGCTTCTGAGAGTATTCCAGGTCAAGGTTAAAAGCATGGGTTTGAATCTCAGCCCAGACCCTTATTAGCATGGTGACCTCAGACAGATCACTTAACCTCTTTAAGTGTGCTTTTAATTGGAAAAATAAAGGAAGCCAATGTTGGACCAGGTATCACAGGCCTACAAACCTAGCTGCTGGGGAGACAGAGGTAGAAGGATCACAAGTTTAAGTTTTGGTTGGACTACAAAATGAGTTCAAGTGCACCCTGGGCTATTTAGTGAGAGTCTGTCTCACAATAGAAGCATAAACAAAAAGGGCTGGGGTTATAACTCAGTGGTAGAGTACTTGCCCAGCATGTGCAAGGTCCTGGGTTCAATCCCAGACACACACACACACACTTACTTTCTGGAAAATTGGGAAAAAATAAATGATATATACGTATTTAGTATAGTCTGTAATTTAATAAGTTCAATAAATGTTGGTGATCATTATAATTAAATTCCTGAGGAAAATGCTTACATGAGGAAACTCCTTCCTGAGTGTTGAGTATTGGGATTATTATTATTTTAAAGAGTTTATATTTATTGCAGCTTTAGGTTCACTACAAAATTGAGTGAAAGATATAAGCTTATGTACCTCCTGCCTCTCCCACAGTTAACACCCTTTCAACAGAGGGTATATCACATATATCTTATACAAATATTTCCCCCGAGACTGTGGCTTATCTTTTCATTCTCTTGTAGTGTATTTTGCAGATAAAGAGCTTGCACTTCTAATGAAGCCCAGGTTATTAATTATTTCTTTTATGAACCATGCCTTTAATGGTATATTTAAAAAGTTTGTTTTATCATACCTTAGATCATCTCCATTCCTATCTCACATTATCTTTTAAGGATTTCACAGCTTTGTGTTTTAATTATGAGCCAAAATAAATCCTTTCTTCTTTAAAACATAAAGTATGTTTCTTACATAACACACAATTGGGTCTTTTTAAAAAATTTACTCTGTCAATCTGTGTTTCTTCAATGATATACTCAGAACGTTGATGTTTAAATGATCCTTGATGGGGGCTGGAGAGATGGCCCAGCAGTCAAGAGCATTTACTGCTCTTTCAGAAGGTCTCAGTTCAGTTCCCAGCACCCACATGGCAGCTCACAACACTCTGAAACTCCACTTCTAGGGGATTTGATGCCCCCTTCTGGCCTTTGTGGGCACCAAGTTACACATATAGTACACTTACATACATGCAGGCAAACCACTCATACACATAAAAACAAAACAAATCTCTAAAATTATAATTGATACAGTTAGAATAATATTTATCATCATCATTAATAGTTTCTGCTTGTTGCTTTTCTTCTTTATTCCTATTTTTAATTTTTTTTAACTTTTTCTGGCATTTGTAGTTGAAAACTTTATGTAATTCTATTTCTTCCCTTTTTAATATATTAGTTATATTTCCTTTAAAATTTTATTTTGCTGCCCTAGAGTTTGCAACTAACATTTATAACTAATTCACTCCCACTTCCAAATAAAAGTACACCTCAGTTTGGACAAGGCTGTTATAGTAAAAATGGACACCATTTATTTCGTGTGTGTGTGTGTGTGTGTGTGTGTGTGTGTGTGTGTGTGTGCGTAGGCTATAATCATCAAATACATTGTTGTTGTTATTTTGCACAAACATATGTTAGATTAATTAAAACAAGAAAAATACATTCTCATTTTCTCTTCATTTATTCTTTCCCCAGTACTTTCTTCATATAGATGCAAATTTCTGACCTATTTAATTTTTATTCTCTCTGAAAAGTATCTTTTAACACTTCTTGCTAGCCATAAGTTCCTCAATTTACATTTTTCTGAGACAGTATTTCCTCTTTACTTTCAAAGAATTAACTTCATATGATATAAAGTCTGTAGATTGGTGACATTTGTCTCTAAACATTTTAAATATTTTATCCTATCTTGCTTGCATTGTTTCTGAAGAGCAGGCAGGTAGAATTCTTATCCAGAAGTATTTTTCTCCTGTAGGTTTTTGTCGTTGTTATTTTTGTTTTTGGTTTTGGTTTTTTTTTTTTTTAGATGCTTATGTTGTCTTTGGTTTTCCGCAGATTGAGGACAATGCACTGAGCGGTGGAGATTTGGGGCATTTATCTCTCTGGCTGTTCTCCAAACTGCCTGGATCTGTGGTTTTGTATCTGTCTGACATTAATTTTGGGGGAGTTTGGGGTCATTTTTTTCTTCAAATCTTACCTCTGTTCCTTCCTTCCGGCTTCTGATGTTTCTGTTATATTACCCATACAGTCTGTCTGTACTGTATGGGTACATACTGTATTTGTCTGACCATTCTGGAATATTCTGTTACATGTTTTATAATCTTTTCCCCCCTTTTTTCTATTGGTATATTTTTGCAAGATGAGATTCATTTCTCAGTGTTGTCTAGTTTAATAAGCTCTTCAAGTGCCTTTTTAATTTTTGTTACAAGGGCATTTATCTCTAGCCTTTATTTACCATCCTAGAATTTCCACCTCTCTGCTTACATTATCCTTTTGTTATTATATTCATTATAATATTCCCATTATATCTCATAGCATAGCCATCAAAATTTATTAAGTTATTACAATTATTTCTAATAATTCCACATTCTCGCCACATATAGCTCTAGCTCTGATGCTTGTTAAGCCTCTTAATGTTGTGTGGGCATTTTGTTGTTGTTGTTTACGTTTTAATGCAACTGATATTTTTTTCTATAATGTCTGGACATAATGAGTAAGAGAAACTGATTAATAAGCTTTTTGGTACTAGGGAGATGGCTCAGTGGCATGTAAATCTGGGCATAGTCATCCATGCCTGTAATACCAATGCTCCTAACTGTGAGACAGGAGGGGAGGCAGAAGAATCCTTAGAGACTCACAGGTCAGTGGGCCTGGTGTACACTGTGAACAGCGGAGACCCTGTCTTAAACAATGTGGAAGATGAGACCAACATTTGATGGTTTTCTCTGACCCCTGTATGTACACCATAAAAAAAAAAATGTGTGTACTCAATGTACTCAACCATACACACACACACACACACACACACACACACACACACACACACACACATACCCCATACACACACACACATATTTGCTCCCACAATAAGCCTTCAGTATTGAGAATTAGGGTTGTGGGGGGAAGGAAGCATTCTACAGACTATGTTTGTCTCACTGGGTCTTTTAATGATCCTGTGCCCTTGGACTATGAATCACACAGGTGCTTCTCAAGTTTCTCTCTCCTAAATGAATCAGGAGGGCTGGGCTAGGACAGAGCTGGGTGTTCCCATCTCCCCAGTCCTGGAGCACTACTCAAACCCTAACAGGTAGGCCCTGGTGAAAGAGCTTCTTTTGAGAACAGGTCCCTTTAAGACAGAATGTTCTGGAACATTTCGAATGGACTGCTTTTTCACTCTCTGTGACATCATTAGTATGAGATTTATTTTTCCTCTGATCTTCAGCATGGCAGTCTGGTCAACTTCTTAGAGAAAAGTTCACTAAAGGCAGGGCCCTCTGTGAATGCACCTCTTCATCCCTGGAGTTTTATCTCTGAGACTTTCCTGCACTGGTCCTTTAGAAACCGAGTTTAATTCTGGTTCTCCTCCCCCATTTCTGTTCCCAGGGAGGCTTCTGTTTGTGTGTGTCTGTTCTCCTAAATTGCAATTTTCTGAATTTGCTTGTCTTTCCAATTTTAAGGACAGCCGTTAGCCTCATGAGCTCATTTCTCTGATGAATCTAAGAATCATCAGTTTTTAAAGCTTGCTCAGTTTTTTTCCCCTGTTGTTAATATTGAGTGGTGGTTTCCGAGGCCTTCCATGTCAGGCCAGAAACAAAAGAACCCATTACTTATGTAATTCTCACCATAACCCTTGAGGTGAATGCGGTTAGAGATTTCAAAAATAAGAAACCAGGCTGTCCAAGGTAAGGGACTTGTCCAAGGTCATTTGGCTTGAAGATGGAAGAAATGAGATCAGATTTGCCAGGCATCCCCAAGGATACCACCACACCAGCAGTCCCTGCTCATACAATGCATCCATCACTGGCTTCTGGCTGATTGTATTGGATTTGTACTAGTGCATAATTTGAAGCTCTTGAAATTAAAGCTAAAAGGTATTTTGACCCAGTTTTCTCAATTAGTAGGCAGCCTGGGGAAACTCAGTCTTGGTCATTCAGTAAACTTTCACCTCATTCCTTTTTGACCCATGACTTTTGCTGTTCCTTAGGGAAAGGAATGAGAATGAAGGTAAGATATGCTTGCCTTATTAGGTATTATCAGTGTCAACAAAATGATTTAGAATGTCACAGTTCAGAATAAGGAACCAGAATGTAGCTGCCAGTGTACATATGATTCCCTTAGTTTTGTCAAAGTGAAAAAAAAAAAAAGGACTTTAAGTCCAAAGCTAGTGTTATAGCTGAGTCCTGGTGTGACCTTTGTCTGCAAACAAACCTCCGTTTCCACAAATAACAAACAGCCACTTTCTTACATTTGTATCATCATTCAAATAAAATAAAATATCTCGATCTGTAACTCAGTCAAGGGAACTCAGAATTCCCTTTACCCATCACAGGCAACAGCCACAGTCTTTAGGAAATCTTTGGGAAGAGTTACTCTGCCTACGACAGTGTTATAGAATGAAGGTAAACACACTTGAGTTTGGGGGCTTGAGGGATGAGGAGGGATTGTTCTGGCAAATTTTTGTGCTGAGAGGATATGTTCAATGCCTTCTTCTGTTGAAGGATTAGTAAGACTTAGTAATTTTGTGGTGGATAAAGGCAGAATTGAAGCTGGTGAGGGCAAGCAAGGCCAGGCCACAAAGAGCCTAGTATGCTAGACCATGAAGTTTAAATCTTTTATTAGGAAAACTCTCATTTCACAGGAATGCAGCAGGCTGTTGATATGGTCTGGTGGAAGGATGGTGAGGTCTTAATGATGGTAGAGACACCAGCATTCATCAGTCAGGAAAAGCTGTTGATGTTAGGGGGCACCAATTCGTGTGGTATGTTCAAAACTTCTGGCCCAACTTCTCTGTCCTATTTTAGGCCATCTTCCTTAGTTGATGACTCAGCTTCCCAAAGCCTCCAGTTTTCCACTGTCCAACGTCCTTCTGACACTGCTGATGGATTGAGTCTCTAAAGTACTGGTAGCCGGGCCATTGTCTTCTGAGCTGTGAAAGACTCTCAGTAACTTCAGGATGTACGTGGGCCTCTACCACTAGATTGTGATCTTTTCTTTGGTCTCACTCTTATATTTTACTCGGTCATTGTTCCCAGTGAAATCATATTACAGCTCAGCCAACTACTGAGCCATCAATGTCTCCTTTCCCAGAAGTCTTTAAACTTTCATAGGAGCACATGTCATCATTCCCATCTTTGTCTCCTTTTGGGAGTACCTGATAGGTCCACTGGCACTCTGTCTTGTCACTTTGACCTTAACCACATCATCCAATATGATTCAGTAATTCTTAGTATGAAAGTGAATGCTGAAGCAAGATGCTAGGTGAGAGCTGTTGATCCTCAAACTTTAGTTCCCCTGTTTGTCCTCCCTGTCCTCCAAAATCAGCCAGATGCTTTTATTATCCTTCCCTCTTGAGTGGGGGGGGGGAATCCATGAATAAGATAGGACATTGCTTCCATAATTTGGTAATGAATCAGTACTGGATGGGCCTGACCTCATCAAAGAAGCCTTTAAAAAAATTGAGACACATCTTTGCTGGCCTTAATAAAGAAGGGATTCTGGATGTGAGATGCTCTGGGAGGGAGACAGGGTAGTTATCAAGGAACTGCAAATGACTTCTAGAAGCTGAGGGTAGGCCCCTGGCAGACATCCTGAAAGGGAATAGAGACATCAATCATACAGTCTTAAGAAGCTGAATCCTACTTACCAAGACAGGAACTTGAAAGTTAACATGGAATTCCAGAAAACAATGCTTCCCCATGTTTACCTTTTAGGCTGAGTAGAAAACCTCTCTTATTCATGTCTGGACTTCCAACCTACCAAAACAACAATAACAATAAAACAAACAAATAAAAATGAATCAACCCTTCAAAAAACAAACAAACTAATCAGTAGAAGTATTTGAAGGGGCTAAATTTTGGACACTTTGTTCATTAACAACAGAAAACTACCATAAGTGGTTGTCATTGACTCTTCCCACCAATAGACCTCTGGGACCTTTATCCAAACCCATTCTTGCCTCAGCTGTGGACACCAAGAGGACCAGAGAGAGACATCAAGCCTCAAAGTCATTTTCATCTTTTTTTCTACTGACTACCATCTGGTTTAGAGTTACAAAACCAAAAGTGATCATTCTAGAGGAGACTGCTCTTTAATAAAAATTCTGTTTGAAAAGAACTTGCTGAGCCACCTACACAGAAGCAATGCTGATAGGCTAGGTAAGGAAGGAACTGGGCTCTGCTGCCCGCCAAACACTGCATTGTGCATGGCTAAGACTGAGATAGGGAGCAGAAGGAGAAACTTTGGGGAAGATAGTGGCACATAGTTTGCAAAATGTGTCTCCACACAGCAGCAGCAGCAGCAGCAGCAGCAGCAGCAGCATTGACATCCGAGAACTTCGGCCACATCCTAGAACTACTGACTCAGAAACTGTGTTTCAGACAGCCTTCCAGGTGATGGCGTTGTGCAAGAACTTTGAAACCACTGACGTTGACAAATCGTCAGTTGGTTATACAAATAGCAGCGTTTTCTGTGGGAAGCCATCTTTTAAAAAATGACTCAGCGACAAAGGATGGATGCAAGTCACACCAAAAGCACTAGCCTGCTCAAAATGTCCGCAATACTGTGATCAGCCACCCTTGGACGACCATAGAGCCCACTGACTTGAAGGTCAGATACTCTGATATGAAAGTGTCAGGGTCACTCTGGGATGAAGCTGCCAGTAATTGATATTCAATAAATAACTGTGGGTTGTATCAATAAACTGAGACCAAAGATCATATCCCTTGTTTGGATCCTTGGGTTGCAATCTTATCCCAGGTGCTCTCTGGGTTAAGTCTTCCCTCACTAAAGAGTAAGGAGAATTCTTCTGTAGTCAGGAAACTTGTTCTGGAGCCCCAGAAGTGTGATACATGGTGAGCAGTTCCTCAGCATAAGAAAAAAAACCACAGAGTAAAACCAAGCTCCATTCAAGAGCTCACTTCTGCCTCTTCTGCCTTCAGCTGAGCAGCTGTGTTCAGTCTTCTGCATGGACCTACTGCTTCTGCTAGCCTCAAGTGAAATCTTTGACTATCCCTTGGAGAGAGCCTAGGACAGAAACTCTAGTACTCCTTTATGGAATGGGGACAGTACAGAGAAAATAATCAACAGGGAGGTGCACATCACAGATGGGGGATTTAAGGACTTTGTAGACAGTGAAAGCTGCCTACATTCCAAGGGCACAAGGTACTTTCTCAGTCTGGTCAACCAGACCTCAGTTCCTTCTGTACCAAGCACTATTATGTGATTCTCGCGACCTCAGAAAGCTCAGATAATTAAAACAGTTTATGTTTTGCCGTTTCCGAGAATCCCTCTTGCGATTGAAATGATTCATGCACCCAGGGTTTAAAGAAGAAAATAACCTCATTGTTGTTTGCTCTGTTCAAGCTCTCAAGTGCTCGGCTTATTATTTTGTTATCTGGTAAAAATGAGTTGATCTCTAATTCTCTAATCCTTTCCATGGGGAATTCTTACGGGATAATAAAAATTCCTTATTTAACCAGCAAAGAAACAGCTGCTCTTTTCATGGTGTCTACCTTGTCGGGGAGGGTGGGTGAGGGTGATACCTGCTGTCATGTGCTAATTTTCTTATGTCATGGATCAAGTTTGAGGAGAACTAGACAGATGAGATGAGGAAAGGCTGGGGCAGCCTCCTCTTATCCCCACACAAGAACAGGGCTCATAGGTGGCACAGAGATGTGACATCCTAGCTTCTTTATCTCACTGTTGTTATATATCCCTCGTTTTACCTGTTCTTAGTTGGATGCTTCTGTTTACCTGCAGAGCAATTCCACCTCCAGGAAGGTCCATCAAGATGCCCCCCATTGTACCCACTTCCTCACTGTTCCTAAGCCCTGCAAACCACCAACCTCTTTCTTATTTCTATAGTTTTGACATTTCAAGAATGTTACTAAAGGGAACTGTATGGAGTTTTCTATGATTGTCTTAAAAAATCAGTGTAATTCCCTTGGGATCCACCCGAGTTGTTGCATGAACCCATAATTTGTTTAGGGTTTCATACTAAGGGTAGGCTCCAGTTTACATAACCATTTACTTCTTAAAGAAGGTCTGGTTGTTTCCAAATTTGGGCTGCTTGCATTTTCAGGACATATGCATTCATTTGAGAGGACCAAATGCATAATAGTTCAACTTGAATGATAGATATGTTTTTAATTCTCTAAGATCTCACCAAATGGTTTTCCAGAATAGTGTTGCCACTGCATTCTCACAAGCAATGCACAAGTGATCCAGTTTCTTCACATCCTCATAGAACTTCTTGTTGTCACTATTTTGTGTGTGTGTGTATATTTATGTCTAAAGTTGTGTGTGTGTGTGTGTGTGTGTGTGTGTGTGTGTGTGTGTGTGTGTGTGTGTGTGTGTGAAAGAGAGAGCACACATATGCACATGTAAAGGTCAGAGGTCTATGTTTAATATCGTTCTCAATTGCTTTTCCCCTTATTTTTTGAGACAGAGTCTCTCTCTGAATCTGGAACTCACTAAGTAGTTAGAATTGCTGGCCAACAAGCCACAATGATCTTCTTGTCTTTACTTCCCCAGCACTGGGCTTATAGGGTGCCTTGTTGTGGGACATATGATCACGCTGTAAACCCTGCGTCTGCATTTACATTATTAAGTAAAATCAACCTTGGGTCAGGAGGTGGAGGCAGCAATTAGTTGACAGAAAGTAATCATAGAGAGTCAGAGGGAGGCCGGAAAACAGATAGAGAGATGCACAGGAAGTAGTAGGGAGGGACTTTGAGTGTGGCAGCCCTTTTTGGTTTGGGGTGACAAAAGAGACCTTCTCTTTCTGGGACACAGGGGAAGAGGGAAGATCAGCTAGTTGCTCCTCAAACTCTCTGAGCTAGCAGGTTTTCACCCCAGCCTCTGACAACCCAGTCTTTATTGGTAAATAGAATGAGAGAGAGTTAGTTAAAAACTACATTTGGTGGCGGTGGCAGGAGGCGGATCCGGCAGCATGTGAAAGTCCGTCCAGCCTGCTTCTAAAGAAGGCGGCCAGTAAGTGCAAGCTGCAATTACTGGCTGAGACAGCAGATTCAGTGCAGCTGCTGTCCCGGAGCATAAACAACAGGGGCGCTGCTGGGTGTGGTTTTTTATGTGGGTGCTGGGGATCGATCTCATGTCCTCATGCTCACACCACAAGCATTTGACTGACTAAACCCTGTCCCCAGCCCTGTCAATATTTTTTTTAAAGTCATCCAGCAAGCATGTACTGATAGCACTTTGTAGGTTTAATTGTTATTTTCCCATTGACTAATGACATGGAGCTTCTTTTTACGTATGTATTTGACATCTGTATATGCTTTTCAGTAAAATGTCTAGACACCATATGTATTTAATTTTTGAGATTATAAGTTTATTACAACATTTCTCCCTTCCATTTCCTCCCTCCAAAACCTCCCACATACCCCTCCCTACTCCCCTTCAAGTCTGTGGGGTCTCTTTTCACTAATCATTATTGCACACATATATGCATTTGTGTATACACATATATATATATATATTCCTAAATATAACTTGTTGAATTTGTATAATGCTGCATATATGTATGTTTTCAGGGCTGACCGTTTGGCACTGGAAAACCAATTGTTTTGCTTTTGGGGGAAAAGATCACCTTTCTGGGTCTCAGCTTTCCTTAACTGCCTGTAACTCTTCATGTAGGGTAAATGCCTCGTGGGCTCTTCCCCATCCAGTTGGGTGTGTTCATTGGTGTCGGCTTTGTTCAGCTCACACTTGGACAGACATGTGGATGAGACTTTATGGGTATTGCTTCTGATGTTATTAGAAGACGCAATCTCACAGCAAACTTCCTGGTCCTCTGGCTCTTAAAATCTTTCCGCCCCCTCTTCTACAATGTTCACTCAGCCTTAGATAAAGGAGTGTTTTGTAGATGTCGCCATTGAGACTGGGCTCCACAACTCTGCATTTGATTAGTTGTGGTTTAATGTATATTATTTATACATTTTCTAATTATATTGCTTGTTTTGGAGGCGAGATTTTTTTTTTTAATTTCATGAGTTCTTTATGTATTCTAGATATGGGTCCTTTGTCAGATGTGTGATTTTCAGTTCCTTCTCCTTTAATGGCTGGGCTCTTTGAATTTAAACTAAGCACTTTATTTACCTTGGGCCTACTTTTCTTGCAGTTAGGTGTGATTACATGGCAAGTTTCAGGTCAATAATAAGAGCGTGGAAGTGATACAAAGTCATAAAGTACCAATAAGGTTACTTGTTGTGAATGTCTATCCTCTTTCTCTCCTGGGACTTGAACTGCAGTAACCCACCTTCAGCCATGCAGATGAGAACAGTGCTGTGGGGGATGGGGGGCAAACTGTTAAGAAACAAATAGCAAACACTTAATGCTTGTGGGTCTCATGACTTCTCTGGAAAGTTTTCATTCCTGACAGTTTAGTATTGTAGCAGGCATGGGCCGTGTACTAAGAAATAGGCTTGTGCGTGTAAATATGAAGCTATTTACAAAAGTGGTCTTCTCAGATTGTCTGGTTCGCCTACCCCTAAAGCAAAGTCACGAGCTGTCAGGATCCAGATTCCAGAATGGACCAGGGAGCAGAGCGATTAGGTTCACCTGGATGGCTACCCTTCAGACTAATTCATGAAAAAGAATCGAATTTGTGCTTTTTAAAAATCACCCTGTTTTAGAATATCCTCCACTGCACCATCTCATCCCCATTCCCTGGGCACATACTGTATTAACTGTACAAAGATAATTTAACAGTAATTTACACATGCTCCTTGCCAGACAGAGCTTGAAATGGTATGACAGGGAGATCCCAGAGCAGAGAAACGGGCCTGTAGCCAAGTTATAAAGGCAACATTTTGAAAATGGGGTGAGGGTGGAGAGGAGGGAGGAAACTGAGTATATAACATAGGGGGCTTTAGTGTTATTATGTCTCCGAAGGTCCAGAAAAAAGTCTGTGAAATGTTATATTTCAATTTTAGAAATGAAAGAAAATAACCACGTCTCTGAAAAAATTATTTAACTTTCCCAGGGGCATAGCTAAATTTCAACCTCGAAAAGTATCCACTCCAATAATGGATTTATTCACGGTTCCCATTCAGAGACTGACCTGCGGCTCCCCTCCCTGGAGCACAGCCTGGCCTTCCCTCTTCCTGCCAGGTAGAGTTCTGTCAGCACAGCTCCCAGAGAAAGCTCAATAGGAGCTTATTAAGCAGCTTCTGTCTATCTGCCTAGAAGCAAAACCTGGATGAGGGAAGCTAGGGGAACAAGGGAAAGGAACTGACCTTTAAACACAAAGCTTCCGATGACAGGGTGCAGAAATCCTCCAGCTCTCCCGTGCTCTGTGGCGGCCAATCAGAAAATGCCACTCTGTCCTCCCATGTTCCAGGAGAAAACCATCTCCACCCTTTTTTTAGGACGCCCATGAGACTTGTGGAGACTCCCCCATTTACCTGCTGCTACACAACTTTCAGCCCTGTTCCTCCTTTCTTCACAAAAAAACGAACGTTCCCTCTGTCAGAACAGCCTGAGCACCCGAGCAAAGCAATCTCCCTCTGTCCCTCCTGCTTCCTGTGTTTAGCATGTTCGGTGCTGACTCAGGCAGGATCATCTCTCACTTTTTTTCAAAAACATTACAATATAATTACATCATTTATTCCTCTTCTCCTTTCTCCAGTTCCTCCCAGGTACCTCCCCTTGCTCCATCTTGAAATCATGACCTGTTTTTCTCTAGTTATTATTGTTACATATCTCTGTATATGTATTATGCCTAAACATATGAATACAGCCTGCTCAGTCTGATTAGTGTGTTACTTGTGTGTATACGATTTCAGGACTGACCACTTGGCAGTGGATAACCCATCAAGTGACCCTCACCTTTGAATCCTCATGTCCTCCATGTAGGCGGCATGACTTCTCAGAGTGATGTGTGGTCTCCTCCTCAGTGCTTAATGGAACCAGTAGCGGATCCAATTCCCGGTCCCGCACTCTGCCTGTCTGTTGGTGGCATACTGAACATTTGACTTTACTCCTTTGTGAGTATGCACTTGATATCTGGTATTGGCTTCCCTTGCTTGGTTTTGTGGTCTGACAAATCAATTTCCTCAGCATGTAGATGAGTGTAAATGTGATAGATGCAATATAAACAGATATTTTCCCTGTTGGATCAAAAGTGACCAATAAGATGGTCTATTAGTCTTTTTAGGTTGTCTGTGTGTCCAGTTTGAAGTCAAAACAATTAAGAATTTGTTCCCACTGTGAAAAGAGCATATCTTTCATGTGAAGTTTGGAGTTTTATATTTTATATTGTGTTTGACTATGGGATGAAATTTTAAACCATGGTTGTGTGTTTACTGTCTATGATTTAGGGAAACCTTTACCTCTCATTGTTTGAGTGTGTAATATTTTCCTACTTCTTTTTGGGATTGCTGTATTAGATTTTAAAATCTTGATTGATCTTTAGCCTGCATAACTTAGTGCCTATATAAACAAAAAAATTCTAGAAATTAAGGACTTCAATCTCAAATAGCCTCAATGTGGGAAAAATACTGCTGTGTTAGCCAACTCAGAAATGAATTGAGAGTTCAAGTAACTCTTTGGCAAATAAGTCTAATTTAAATAATTTGGGACTAATAAAATTTTAAGTTATTAACATTAAATATAATAGGAATTTAATTTTTATTCTACTTGCATCTGGTCTTTAAGCTTCTATAGGATTACCATCCAGATAAACTGGCATTATTTCTTCTTAATGTCTAAGATCATGAAAAATATGTTTGTATTTAACCAAATTCAATAGTCTGAAAAAACTATTTCCTCACTAGGTTTTATACTATGAGAGCTTAAAGATAATTTTAAGACCTTTAAATAAGTCAAAACCCTGCACTGCTACTAAGTTGAGTTAGTTCAGAGATATTTGTTATATACTCCCAGCATTTCTAAGGAAGATAGAGTGTGGAAACACTTACTATTAATAATAATTTTAATTTGTCTATTATTTATCCATCCTGCAGAATGACTGTATATTTTGAATGTGATAAAAAATGTGTTCTTTTTTTTTGCCAGTTTGAAGCACTGTTATTAAAGACCCGTGGTTATAGAAAGCTGGGGGCTTAGCTGATCTGCAATACACTGATGTGTGATAGACAATTCTCAGTTATCTGATTCCCAGACTTCTCTCAGGAATAGAAATTACTGTGGTTAAAAGTTACAATCAATATATGTGAATGAGCTTCCAGTAGGAGCAATGTTGGCAGGGGAACAATGTTTTATGCAAAGTAGGCAGAGTGGGTTTTCTTTAATGAAAACAGAGTACAGTGTTACCCTAAGCTAAAATGACTGGTTGCCATCGAATGCGGGGAGCAGAGTAAGACCAAGGCTGAATGAAGATAAACATTTAGGAAGATTTGGGGAATATTATAAATAAATATCGTATTATTTACTGCTGACAAAGCCAAGATTTGATAGGTCTCTTGTAAGATTTCAGAAAGAGCTTTAATATCAAATATTAAGCAGATGCAAATAAAACCTTACTCCCACCTTTTCTAAAATGACAACATTTTCTTAGATTATTGGTTTCTTCTTAATACAAAGTTATAAAATGCTTTTCCTCACCCTCATCTGCTTAATAGCAAATCTGCTATTATGTAATCTACCTAGACAGAAAAGGCTTTGTCTGAACAGAATAAGCAGTGGGTTATGTCAATTTTATTATATTTCTGTTGGTTTAAGCAAATACGTTTTTTCACTTAGGGAAGAGGTAAAAAATCTATGCAATAATGTTGTCTTCTATGCTTATTTTTTAATATTATTGAAACAAGAAGTAAGATACTGTCCCCCAGGCACCCCAAATCCAATTTTTTTTTCTCTTAGGTGTTCAAATATCCTAACAACTTTTGATTTTTGCCTTTCTAAAATTGAATCTTGAGTATCTTTTGCACCTAAAATTGTATTTGAGATTCTTTGGGAGGCTCTGGGAAAGCATAAAACATTTATTCTTTTTCTTTATGAAAGAGAGTTGTTGGGGAAAAATAAGGTCATTAGACATGTTAGGTTTGACGCATTGCAGGGTTGTCAAACAGACTGATACCAGGTTTGCGTGGCTGACATCCACAACATGAATGTGTGACAGTCATGCGCTGATTGTGACTCCCAGGGACTTGTCAACGCCCTTGCTATCTATGCCACACTTGTCTTTATTAGAGTCCTGCTAGTGCTTTGCTTGATTTTAAACACATTAGTCAACTTTCTGCTACTGTGATATAATACCCACGATTAATAACTTATAAGGAAGGAAGGTTAAATTCGCTCACAGTGTCTGAGCTTTCAGTTTGAATTTGGTCCAGATACTTTGGGGACTATGATGGCGCCGTACAGCCTGGAAGAACATGTGGCAAAGACGCTCATGTACCATGGTGGCAGGAAGCAAAAGAGAGAAAAGAAGGGACTGGGGTGAGATTCCCTTCAAAGACCTACCTTCTCCCCATTAGGTCCTTCCCTTAGAGGTTCGGCAGCTCCCTGTAGGGGGACAGGCTGGAGATGGAATCTTTAACACATTAGCTTCTGGGGGACAGTTTACAATCTAAACTGTAGGTTCAAAGTATGTTAAAACAGTAATAGCGTATATAACAATTCCAGATTTTAAAAAATATTATTTGCTGCAATTTCTTACTTCTTAAATTTTATTTTTATGTATATGTACATGTCTCTCCCTTCCCCCCATGAGTATACATGTGTGTCTGCTCAGGCCAGAAGAGGTTGCTGGATCTCATGGAGCAGGAATTCCAGGCAGTTGTCAACTATCTGATGTCAACTATCTGAACCCAATTCTGGTTCCCTGCAAGAGCAGCATGTGGACTTACTTAACTGTTGAGCATTCCCCCGAGCCCTGAGATTGGCTTCTTTAGCTTAAATCTTCTAGGCTCATGATTTTTCAAGTAGATTTGTTTTCCAGCCTATAGAATTTTACTAGTATTATTTTGAAATTTTTTTTAACATGAGTATTTAGGACCTGTTCCTGGATTATTTGACCTTTTTACTTAGTATTTCTGATATATTTTGGTATTTCATGACATATGTTTGGTGTGGTGGTATTGTGTTCCCCAAAATATTGTGCACTCTAATAAACTTATCTGGGGTCAGAGAACAGAGAAGAGATACAGAGGCTAGAAAATGGTGGCACTTACGCCTTTAATCCTAGCATTATGGAGGATTCTCTGAGTTCAGAGCCACATTGGAAAAAGCCAGGCATGGTGACACACGCCTTTAATCCCAGGAAGTGATGGCAGGAAGCAGAAAGGTATATAAGGCTTGAGGACCAGGAACTAGAGCTGGTTAAGCTTTTAGGCTTTTAGCAGCAGTTCAGCTGAGATTCATTCTGATGAGGACTCAGAGGCATCCAGTCTGAGGAAGCAGGATCAGCTGAGGAATTGGCGAGGTGAGGTAGCTATGGCTTGTTCTGCTTCTCTGATCTTCCAGCATTCACCTCAATAACTGGCACTGAGTTTGTTTTTATTAATTTAATAAGACTTTTTAAGATTCATGCTACAGTTTGGTATCTTTGTGGTATATTATATATCAGGTTTATAATATATTAAATACAAAGACATTTTTCTAGTTAAAAGTTGGTTACCTTATTTTAAAAAATTAGGTATAATGTCTATTTTTCTTTGAAAATAGGATTAATCACTACATTTATAGGCATTTTGTTTACATTTTTTGGAGGGTTTACATTCATTTACACCAAACAAATTCCAGTCATAGTTATACTATCCGTGTGTGTGTGTGTGTGTGTGTGTGTGTGTGTGTGTGTGTGTGTGTGTGTGTGTACCCTATGTGAGGGGTATCAGTGTGTGCACATGTGGAGGTCAGAGGTGAATGCTGAATATCCTCCTCTATCCATCTCTACTTATCCTTTGAGAAGTGGGCTCCCACTGCACCTGGTACTCCCCAGTTTCTAGACTGGCTGGCCACCAAGCCTCCAGCATCCTCTAACTCTGCCTCCCGGTACTTCTATTACAGGCACACACACTGCAGTGCTGGCATTTTGCACCAGTACTGGGGATCTAAACTTGGGACCCCATGCTCACACAGCAAGCATTTTACCCACTGAGCCACATTCCCAGTCCCTTCAGACGAGTTTTTGTGGGTGTCTACACTTCCATCAGATTATCCATTTTTAAAATTATAGGTGAATGAGACATAGGAAAATTCTATCTTGTCTGATAGCAGCTTTAATAACTCCCCCCAATCCCTGATTAAAACTGAACTTTGACCAAGTTGTCATTATGTACCAAAATTTCAATTTTTTAATACCTGCCTACTATCCTCAACATCATTATTTTTTTCTAGATTTGTTATTCCCAATTCTCACTTGAGCTAAGAGCTGGCTATCTGGATCCCTATCCCAACTCCAGGCTATCTCACAGCTGGTCCTATCCCCTGGAATCTGAAGAAGCTTGGCAAGCTGAAGCCATGCAGCTTGATCTAAGGGTTATGTCTAAGCCCTGGAGAAGTCGAGTGAGATGCCAAGATCATACTTCAGGTAACCAAGACAGTAGATAACGTTTCCCCAAAAAGTCAACACCAAAGCTAAGGAGCTTTAAAAGAAACTCAAGG